CGCGGCTGGCGCACAGCGGGGTGAGGCGTGCGGCGGAGACAGGGCGCGGGCCTGGGGGTCTGGGCGGAGGAGGGGGTGGGGAGGGCTCCGGCTGGGTGCCACCGGAGGGGAGGGACATGGGGCCGGTTCCCTGGCCTCGCCGGTCCTCAGGACCCCCTCCAATTTAGCTCAAGTTGGGGGCGCCCGGGGGAGGGGGCCCAGGTCCGGAGGGGGAGCCGAGAGAGCGCGCGTCTCGCGTCTCCGGCGGCCAACCAGAGTTTCCCAGTAACTTTTCTCCCTGGTGGGTCACCCCGGAAACTTGCCTTCCCCCGGCCCCGGAGTCCGGCCACGGGCTCTGCGCGTCCTGGGCCTGCGCTCTGAGTGAGGGACGGGCGGGCGAAGGCGATGGCCTCAACGGGGAAGCCCCCGGCCCCGTAGCTCACTTCCAACCCCAGGTTTCCATCTGAGTCCCCTGGGTTGGCGTGGGGGTGGAGTGGGAGGTGGAGTCTAACTGAGTTCAAATCCTTGCAGTAACAGCTGGATGACCATGAGCAAATTCTTAATGTCTGTGCCTCAGTTTCCCCTTTATATAATGGAAATGATAACCCTTTCATGCGTGTCATGTGAGCTAACACATGGAAATGGCTTTGTATAACACCAGTCAATGTTGCCTCATCCTGTTGGGTGGGGCCTGTGGGACAGAGCAGCATTCCCTGTCCCTAACTCTTGTGGCTGTCCCATAGGAGCTGTGACAGGTGCCTTCCAGGAGTTTGAGCTATGAGTGGCCCCTGCGGAGAGAGGCCCATCCAGGAAGCCAGCCCCACCATGAGTCTGTGGGAACTTGAGGACAACCACAGCTGTCAAGGTACACCTGGGCAGGCCCAGGAGCCTGACTCTGAAGAAGCATCAGCTTCAGAACTGCAGATGAAGGTGGACTTCTTCCGGAAGCTGGGCTATTCATCCACTGAGATCCACAGTGTCCTGCAGAAGCTGGGGGTCCAGGCAGACACCAACACAGTTCTAGGCGAGCTGGTGAAACATGGATCAACTGCTGAGAGGGAGCACCAGGCCTCACAGGACCCCTGCCCTCAGCTACCTCTGGTCCCCCGGGGTGGGGGCACCCCCAAGGCTCCCACCCTAGAGCCCTCAATCCCAGAGGAGTTCAAGGAGGGCAGCGACCTGAGGCCAGTCGTCATCGATGGGAGCAATGTGGCCATGAGGTATGTGTCACTTCTGTGGCCAGGTAGCACATGTGGAGGGGTGGTCACATGTGTCTGCAGCTCTGGTGAGAAGTTTAATTTCTTCTCATGGACTGGTCTAGAGGGAGGGAAAGCCCTTTATGAGGCCCTACTGCATGCCAGGAGGCTCCCTTATAAGGACTCCTTTGGAGTGGGTTTGTTAGGAATGTTTTAGGGATGAAAACTCAGGGGCTCAAAGTCTTGCTCAGGGTCACACACTGGTCAGTGGTGGAGTAAGGATTCGAATCCGGATCCTTCTGTCTCCAGAGCTCACCTTGTGCTATGGGGTCTCTCCCTGAGGCCAGTACTCTCACAGTGTCAACTCCTGTCCTGAGATGTGAGGCAGGTCCTGCAGGTGCTTAGCCTGTGGACTACAGCTCACTCGTATAGGAGCCAGTCACTTAACCTCTCTGTAGGATGGGGCTAACACACCCTCAGGTGGCTGTTGTAAGGAGTAAAATGCATGGAACCTGGAGAGTAGCCAGTGCTCAGTAAACAGTAGTTGTTCTTATTATTCAGGGGCTGGGGCTTCTGTCTCAGACCTGGGCTCCCATGGAAGCAGGCCCAGGTCCTGAGGCCTTTGTAACTATGACCAGGAGTGACTTCGAGGCTGGATCTGGCTCTCCATAGTGGGTGTGGACAGGTTGCCCAATGCTCCGCCTTCAGGTGAGCCGTGACATGGATCCCCACTGATTCAACTGAAGCTAGCTGGACTGGCCCAGAGCCAGAGCCAGGACTCAGCTCCAGTAACTCCAACTCCAGGTTGCCCAATGCTCCGCCTTCAGGTGAGCCGTGACATGGATCCCCACTGATTCAGCTGAAGCTAGCTGGACTGGCCCAGAGCCAGAGCCAGGACTCAGCTCCAGTAACTCCAACTCCCACCCCCTCCATGCAGGATCCTCACAGGGAATGAGGTGGGTGGGGTTAGAGGATGAGGCCAGGGCCAGGACTGCTGCAGACCTTAGGAAGCCCAGACTTCTCCCTTCAATCCAGGCCCCGCCCTCTGGCCCTGCTTTCTCCCAGTTCCCTCCAAGGCGGGCTGGTGAGTCAGGGCAGGGTGGATTGCTCACAGGGAAAAGTTCCTGTTGGCAAGGATGGGGAGACCCCAGATATGGGGTGGGGATGGGGAGAGCTCCTTCCCCAGCCCTGAGGGAGCTCCCAGGTGGGCTGCCTGAGGCTGGCATGACATCAGCCGCTGCCCTCCCTGGCATTTGGCTCCGCCTACTCCTGGCCCAGCTGGGGCAAGTCAGCCGTGCGGCTGGTCCTGGGCCAGCTCCGCAGGCACAGGCATGCAGGTGAGCCCTCTTCCCACCAACTTCGGGTCAGTCTTCCCATCCCTGAAATTGGCTGGGCCTGGATGGGAGGCTGTGAAAAGCTGGCTCCCATGCCAAGGGGCAGCAGGTCACAGCCTGTGCTTTGAGAATTAAGGGTCCCCTCTCAGGCTCCACCTCCTGTGGCTGGGAGCTAGGATGGATCAGTGACTCCTTCCTCTGGGGGGTGTGAGCCAGGAGTGGCAGAACCCTGGGGGCAGCCATGTGCTGTGTGTGTTTGTATCTTGGCAGGAGGAGGAGAGGCCTGGGAGAGAGGAGGGGCGGTGGCAGAGGAGGGGTGCTCAGAGGAGCAGGCGCCCGACAGACAGAGCCACCCGCAGCCTGCCACCGCTGCCTGCCGGGGGTTTCTGAGCTGGGGCAGTGGCAGGAGGGGAATTCCAGCCTCACACTTCCTGTCTCAGCTACTACTCAGTTCCTGCCCTGCCACCCCCTCCCCGCCAAGGGCAGGCGGGCTAGCCCCCACCATATGCAAATCGTGGGGAAATTCACCTCTGTTTCCTTCTAAGGGAATTTTTCTCCACTAGTCAGGCCCAGCCCTGGCAGATCTTTTCACCTGGGGAGACTGGCCTAGCCCTGCCCTCTGTCCTGGTGCAGGAGCAGCCAAGCTGGAGTCTACAACATACTCACAGATCCTATCAGAGTTGGGTCAGCCAGGCTGGGGAGCCCTGAGCTTCTGGGCAAACGACTCGGTGGGGGTGGGAGGATGTCTGGTTTTCCTGTGCGGGCAGAGCTTCCACCACTGCAGTGAGAGGCACTCCAGGCCTCATGTGTTCTACTTTTACCAGGAGTAGGGCTCTGACTACCTGCTGAGGGAATATTCCAGGTGTTAGGGCCGCTGAGAACAGACTTGTCCCCAGCCAAGATTTTCGATGCCCAGAGGCAGTAACTGTGCTGGGAGCCCTGGCATCACAAGGCTTGAAGACGCTGCCCTAGGATGGGACACACATGTGTACAGAGGGAGGCAGGTAGATGCATGTGCAGACTGCTTATTTGAGACAGGGAGCCAAGCCAGAGATGACCACACCCCCACAGTTTTGGGGAGACAGGGCAGAAGCCCAGGGAAGGGGGTAATGTGGTGAGGAAAACATCGGGCATTGTGAAGACACAGACCAGGGATGTGACCCATCTTGGCAGGTCAGGAAAGTCTTCTCAGAGGTGGTGACACCTCCCGTGGGTTCTGAAGGAAGGGCAGGAGTGTGCCAGATGCATCATTTCTCCTGTTCCCAGCCTGCCCCTCCCTCTTAAAATGCTTTGTTCAAACTCAAGTTTGGGAGCTTTTTCCTCCCAAATATATTTCAGGTCTTCTGTTAGGGATAGGAAGGCAAACTAGTGGCCCCAGATCTGTGTTAGTGAGCCTTGTAAGGATGAAGTGATGTATGTGGCCTCCAGTCAGAGCTCAGTACCCGCTGATCCCCACTCCTTCCCGTGATCAGGGATGGTACCTGTACTTGTACCTGTGTGAGCATCAACATGCATAGTAGTTATGAGCACAGGCTCTGGGTCTGCATCTCTGCTCCACCATTACTGCTGTGTGGCACTGGTAACTAAGTTATCCTCTCTGGACCACAGTTTTCTCATCTGATGAAAAAGGAAAGGGGACACTAGTGATTGTACCCTCTTTGTAGGCTTGCTGGTGATTCAGTGTTAAGCTCTTAGAACAGGGCCTGGTTCACAGCTCTCAGTAAATGTTAACTTTTATTATAAGCAGGCTGGTGGATGTGGGTGGGGGAGGGCATCAGGTGGGAGTGAGTGCTACCTTAGGGCTGACCTTTTTTCCCCCGTACAATCTATAGAGACCTTCAGACCCTGAAGCCCCACCCTCACCCCCAAACAGCCGCCATGTCCCCCAGGTGCCCCACTTCCCTCTCTACCTCCTTTTGGGGCCCCAGCTATCACCCCCCCAAAGCCACCCACATGATGTGGTCCATCCTGGACTCGCCTCTTTTGCATAACATTTATTCTGTTTTATTTGCCAAATAAGAGAGTCTAATTGTTCACTGAGGGGGCAGGGAGAGGCAGGGGCTGCTGGGGAGGGAACTCCAACCTGGTTCCAGGAGCCCTTCCATGACACCAAGTATTACCCAGGAGCTTCAAGCCCCAGTCCCCCTCCTGCCTTCCCAGGAAATCCAGCTAGAATCTCCACTTGCTGGGCCGTGTCTGGCCTCAAGCTAACAGGAAAGTTGTCTGGCAGACATGGCCCCTCGTATGGAAGCTGCAGACTGCTGGGCCCATTTTTCAGATAGAGAAACTGAGAGCCACAGCAACTCAGGAGCACCTTAGGGCTTCCTCCTGCATCCAGAGCACCTTAGGGCTTCCTCCTGCATCCAGCCACATTTGGATGGGTGAGGTCTGGTTACCAGACCAAGGCAGGAAAGGTGTCCCATCTCCCAGCTCTCCTTGCTAACAGAGTCCCCCAGTGTCTTCCTGACCTTCCCTCTGCCTCGGGTCATGCCCTCCCTGAGGCGGGTGAACAGAGGTCAGGGGTGGTCCAGGTGTTTGGGGGAATTGGCCTTCTTGGGAGGAAAAGCAGCACCCTTTCACTTTCAAACTTAGTCTCCTAAGGAACCTCCTCTACTCTGTCACTCCCATCGCACTGTGTGTGGAATCAGTGACCCCTCCTCCTTTGCCCTCCTCAGGCCCCAGCCCCTGAGGTTTGTGGAGGACTGAACTTTAATCCGGAACAATCTGGTTTCTCCTGGGTTAGCCAGGCTGGTGCTTCCCCCACCCCCACCCACAGCACCATGAGCAGCGAGGGAGGGGCGGTGACTCAGTCTGCATGTGTCCCTGTGGTCCCAGCAGCTCCTCGGGTGGGGCAGGAACCAGAAGTCTCCGGGCGCCTTTCCCCCACCCCCAGGTATGTTGCAAGCAGTCTGACCCTCCCCCACCATGAGGAGCGGGTGCTGCCAGATTCCTGGGTGTTTCCTCACTTTCAGGAGATGGAACCTCAGGGAAAGTCCCAACAGGGTCTGGCCGTCTGGCGCTGTGAGAAGCAGCACAGGGAATGGAGGCAGAGGGCGCTTGGCTGAGCCCAGCTGCTCACCACCAAGGCCAGGGCAGGGGCTGGCGTGCGACCCAGCCCGACTCCGCTCAGGTCCAGGGGATAGCAGGCTGGCGACCTTGTGGAATGACCCTGTGCCTCCTCTCCCTCCCAGCCACGGGAACAAGGAGGTCTTCTCCTGCCAGGGCATCCTGCTGGCAGTGAACTGGTTTCTGGAGCGGGGCCACACGGACATCACAGTATTTGTACCATCTTGGAGGAAGGAGCAGCCTCGGCCCGATGTGCCCATCACAGGTGAGTGGCACCTCTGGAAATGAGATGGTCTCACTGTCTCAGGAGCCCTGGTTCTTCCCAAGAGAGGCCCTTTGGGTGTGACCAACAACTTCCAGACTTCAAGCAGGGACCAGCATTTCTTGTCCTGGCTTTTGCTCTGCAAACTTGCTTGGAACAATGGTCACTGGAGATCACTTTGTTCAGCTCTCTGCCTCAGATATTGGGTACCTCCCTCATCCTGCTAGTGGCTGGATCACTTTTTCTACATCCCTAGTGGCCAAGGGGCAGTATAGCATAGTTGTTAAGCCTGAGGGCGCTGGGCTGAGACAACCAGAGTTGGAATCCTGGCTCCGTCCCTTCCTGGCTCTGTGACCTGGACAAGGACCTCTATTAGCCCTGCTCTGAGCCACTTGCTCCTCAACTGTCAAGTGGGGGGGGGGCATTGATCACATTGCCTTCCTCATAAGGTCATTGTGAGGGTCTTGTAAGCGCTTAGAATAGTCCCTGGCACTTAGTAAATGCTCAACATATGTTAGCTGTTACTGTTCTTACAGGAGCCCCCAAACTTTGGGGGTAAAAATGGACTCAGTTTCTCTAGAAGTCTTGAGATCTGGGGGCAGGCTGGCTGGGGCTGTGGGCTCCAGGAAGAGTAGCCTTCCAAATAATAACCTTGTCCTGGCTACACAAGGGATGGAACCAAGCCACGTCATTCACAGACCCTTACAGGACAAAGCCAAGACTGCTTCTGGCTTGAATAGGCCTGATCCAGAGAGGCCAGCTCTGTGCTCATAGCCTTTGTTGGGTAGGATCTGCTGTGCTGTGCTCAGGTGTTCTTGCTCTTCATGCAGCAAACTGTGTGCAGGTCCCAGGCAGGGGGCTAGTGTGTGGCCATGGCCTCTGCAAGCTGGTTCCTGCCCTTGAGAACTTGGCATTAACAGCCCCGGGATCTGCTGTGCTGTGCTCAGGTGTTCTTGCTCTTCATGCAGCAAACTGTGTGCAGGTCCCAGGCAGGGAGCTGGTGTGTGGCCATGGCCTCTGCAAGCTGGTTCCTGCCCTTGAGAACTTGGCATTAACAGCCCCTGTTACCTGGCCACCAGGAAGTTAAGAGAGCCCTGCAGGCCTGGCTCTGGGTCCTGGCTGGGGCCTGACCTGCACCCCCATTACCTCCCAGACCAGCATATCCTACGGGAACTGGAGAAGAAGAAGATACTGGTGTTCACACCATCGCGACGTGTGGGTGGCAAGCGGGTGGTGTGCTACGATGACCGCTTCATTGTGAAGCTGGCCTTTGAGTCCGACGGGGTTGTGGTCTCCAATGACACATACCGAGACCTCCAGGGCGAGCGGCAGGAATGGAAGCGCTTCATCGAGGAGCGGCTGCTCATGTACTCCTTTGTCAACGACAAGTAAGTTTCTGCCCGGGAGGGGACCTGATGGACTTGGGGTCCAGTGCCAGAGATGCCCTTGGGAGGTGGGGTTTGGGGGATGGGCTCTGATGGGCCCTGTGGCCATGGGGGGCCATGGTCTTGGCTCCAGGAAGCTTTGGAAGTGAGATGGGCAGTTTACTGCACAAGTGACATCAGGCTGGGGCAGGGGGCTTTTCTTTTTTTCTTTTTTTAAAGATGACCAGTAAGGGGATCTTAACCCTTGACTTGGTGTTGTCAACACCACGCTCTCCCAAGTGAGCAAACCAGCCATCCCTATATAGGGATCCGAACCCGTGGCCTTGGTGTTACCAGCACCACACTCTCCCAAGTGAGCCATGGGCCAGCCCCAGGGGGCTTTTCAATTTCGGCGATGGAGCAGTAGCATTCGTGACAGGATGTGGTCAGTGGTCCCAAGATAGCCTCTCCGGTTCCCAGCACCACATCTCTTGGGTAGAAGCCATGGGGCAGTGGGTGCAATCCTAGATTCAGATCCTCAGGTTGCCGGCCTTGCAATGGCCTCAGAGAGCTCCCAGTGCACGAGTTGCCCAGAAGGTGCCCATGGGCTTTGGCCCTCTGGATGTGGGGGTGCTCTCCTCTCTTGGGGTGATCCCACCAGAACTAAGAACAGTTCTGGGCTGTCCTATAGGAGTTGCTCTTCTGTTCTTCGCAGCAAGTCTTGCTGCACAGTCCCCTTCTAAACAATTGGAAGTCCCCTCATGTCCCCCACCTCCTGAGAGTTCTTTTCACCCTCTGTAGGTTCATGCCCCCTGATGACCCCTTGGGCCGCCACGGGCCCAGCCTGGACAACTTCCTGCGTAAGAAGCCCCTCGCTGCTGAGCATAGGAAGCAGCCATGTCCCTACGGTATGAGACCCAGCTGTCCTCCACAGCCTTGCTCACTCCTTCCCCTCCTCTCACCCCAGTCTGCGTGTGCCCCGAGTTTTTCTCCTGGGGACCTTCACATTTGAACCACCTGTCTCCAAGCTTCCCGTACCACCCCTTCCCTGCTCTCGCCCCTGGTCTGGAGTGCCCCAGCTTAGCATCCTTCTTAATTCCTCTTGCAGGAAGGAAATGCACCTATGGAATCAAGTGCCGGTTTTTCCACCCAGAGCGGCCGAGCCGCCCCCAGCGCTCCGTGGCTGACGAGCTCCGTGCCAATGCCCTCCTCTCACCCCCCAGGGCCCCGAGCAAGGACAAAAGTGGCCAGCGGCCTTCACCCTCATCTCAGCATGGCTCTCTGCCAACAGAGGGTGAGCAGCGCAGCCTGGACAGGAAAAAGCTGGGGGCCCAGGCATCCTCAGGGCACCGCCAGGAGGGCCTGTCACAGGCCTTTGCCCCCCCAGGCAGGAGCATCCCACCTAGAGGGGGCAGTGGTGGCAGCTTCGGACTCACAGACTGGCTCCCACAGACCGTGGACTCGCTCCCATACACCTCCCAGGATTTCCTGGATTCCGGCATTGGCTCCCTGGAGAGCCAGATGTCAGAACTGTGGGTTCGAGGAGGAGGCCCTGGTGAGCCGGGCCCACCTCGAGGCCCTTACGCTGGCTACAATCCCTATGGATCTGAGCTCCCAGCCACTCCAGCCTTCTCTGCCTTTGGACGTGCCATGGGTGCTGGCCACTTCAGTGTCCCTGCTGACTACGCACCACCGCCACCCGCTTTTCCACCTCGAGAGTACTGGTCAGAGCCTTACCCACTGCCCCCACCCACCCCAGTCCTTCAGGATTCCCAGCTGCCGAGCCCAAGGGCTGGCGGGGGCCCGTGGGGCGGGGCAGGTAGCCTGGCCAAGGAGCAGGCCAGTGTGTACACCAAGCTGTGTGGTGTCTTTCCCCCACACTTGGTGGAGGCCGTGATGGGGCGCTTCCCGCAGCTCCTGGACCCCCAGCAGCTGGCTGCCGAGATCCTCTCCTACAAGTCCCAGAACCTCAATGAGTAAGCCAGCCTGGGGGCCCGCAGGGGCAACACCCCCAGTCTCCAAGGACTTTCAGAGGGAGGATTAAAGTAGGGAAGAGAACCCACAAACCAAAGATACTGTAGGATTGGTTCTGGCCCACACGGCACCCCTAGCCGTCCGCCCGTCTGCCCGAGTGGGTCAGAAGCGATCACCCTGTTGATACACATTGTATCTCTGTAGTTTAAGGAGACGTTGCCAGTAATGGCCGTCGGTCCGTGGCTGAGGCCCAAACCCTCTATTCTCTCAGAGGGCAGGGAGGGAGGCAGGGGGAGCAGAGGCCTGGGCTGGGGGCCCTGTGCATGCCCCCCAACCTCCACCCCGTCCCTGGGACGCCAGCCTTGGCTGGCTAGTTGGGCACTATGTGCCTGCCCTCCAAGGGCCCCTCCTCTAAGCCAATGAAGCCTTCTCCGTGCTCTCTCGCTGGGCACAAGGCTTCATGTTAGTAAGCAAGATGCTTCTTAAACCACTTTTCTGCCCCGCTCTGTTCACCTATCCCATTGCCGCTGCAGGGGCTGAAGGGCCCTTTGTCCTCACCCTCTCTTCCTCTCCCTTCAACTGGGCACAAGGCTTCATGTTAGTAAGCAAGATGCTTCTTAAACCACTTTTCTGCCCCGCTCTGTTCACCTGTCCCATTGCCGCTGCAGGGGCTGAAGGGCCCTTTGTCCTCACCCTCTCTTCCTCTCCCTTCAAGGAGGAAGGAACTCCAAGTCATCTCACCCTTCCCCGAGGGTTGGGGGACCCGTGTATGTTTGTGTACAGGTATAAATTTTAAATAAGTGGAGAATCCTTATCTCCTGTAAACTTAATATAAGTGTAATGTGGATCCTTATAAGAGGTGATGGTCTTTGTTGGGCTTGGGGGTTGAGCTGGCCTTTGGGTGATGGAAGGCCAGCAGGTGTGCACCCCAACCTGCCTGCACCCCTGGGGGAGCCACTCCAGCTGGCTGTCCGATCCTTCTCTGGAAGGAAGGTTTCCAAGTTTCACTAAGAGTGCTCTGTCCCTTTGGGGCTGGGTCTGATAAGAGGTGGCAGTGGACACATGGGCAGGGGTGCGGGTAGGAAGCAGAAGTATAAAAGGGCTTAGAACTCTGTGGCAGCGGCATGGGGAGGGGGGTGGCCCTGAGGGGGATAGGATGGGCTGTTCCCCTTTTCTGTGCTGTGACCAGAGCTGAGGATGGGAAACTAGATTGGTTGGAGTGGGTGTGGTGGGAGCCCTTGGGTACTCACTTCTGGCCCTGCCCTCCCAGATACTGCCTTCTAGACCCAGGGTTGCAGAGCAGAGAGCCCAAGGGCAGAAGCAGCCTGTAGAGGCAATGCCAGTGTAACCTCCAAGAGGCGAGGGGCCCTGGTCCCAAACTCAAGAAGTACCTCTGCCACTGATTGTTACCTGGGAGAAAGTGACTGCCCCTCTCTGGGTCTGTTTCCTCATCTATGAAATGGGGATAATAATGGCACCTACCTTACAGGGTTGTGTAGGGATTACATGAGATCCTGTATGTTGGGTGCATGACCTGCTGCCTGGCACACAGTAAGTGCTCCTTAAGAGGCCTCTGGTGTTACTCCCTATGGCTGTGTTCACAGGGTTTTTACCATCATCTCAAACCTCATCTGACCCTAGAAGGAAAGAGGCCAGGAAGGAATACATGGATTCTTATTTTTTTTTTGCAGATGAAAAAATGTGGTGTGAATGTTAAAAACATTTTAAGTAAAAAGCTGGGCTATCAGATGATCCCCAAACACCTTCAGCAAGGGAAAATAGGAAAAATATAATTTTAATAATTATATCTTTGAACATATCACCTGATTTGTACTTGTTTGTGAAGCCTTTGTAGTATCTGTGTTTTGTTTTATTTATTTTTTTGACCA